TTTACCCCTTTTTTAACCCTTATAAATATAAAAAAATAATATTAAAAATTACAGATGATACAAAAATAATATTTTAAAATATATCCATACATTCGGCTACATTGGATTCCTGGAAATAATTTTAAATAATATTATAATTAAACAAAATAAAACTATAAATGTATAATTAGATACATATTATAAGGTTTAAATTATATTAGCTTTAGAAATATCAAAAAATAAATATTTAAAATAATTTTAAATTATCCTAGATGATCCAAAAATATACCTAAACCTATAGGCTCATCTTGTAACAATAAAACTTGGCCAAAGTAAAAGTAATTCTGTAAGATTTATGCATTTTTTTGGGACAAATTCCATGCCACCTGCTGTGGCCAAGTGGACAGGGACCAACGGATTGATTAGCTTGGCTGCCCGACATATGCCAAATCGTTAACCCACAAATGCCTTGGAATCCGTCTGCCCGAACCTGAGGCCCATGGCCAGCCAAGTGGCCTGCCTCAAGTGGATATTATTTGGTGTGGCACGGACCAAGTGGCCCCGAGGAGCACAGCCAGCAGGCAATGGCAACGTCTCATGTGTCACTCGAGAGGATGACACATGCCGGCGGATTGTTAAGTACGCTTAGGGCAGATTAACTTAACTGTGCATAAAATGCCGCACACTCGGACTCAAAACAAAAATAAAATGCAGAGAAAAAAGAAACACGAGGGAAAAACACTAAAGGAATGCAGGCGGCAGTCGTCGTCGTCGAGGACCGTGAAACAAAAGTAAAAACTGTGGCTGCCAGAGGAAATATTGCTGGAATGTGTAAAAAGTCATGCATAAAATTAGTTTCAACTTGGTTGACGATGCCCGCTGCCCCTCCTCCTCTCCAGTCCTGATTTATTTTCCACAAATGCATTTTTAACACTTGGGCAACACGTGCGTTCCCGGAATACTTTTGCCACTCAAGTGCGCCTCCTCCTTCGATCGATCTTTCCCTTTCCTTTGGCAGTTGAAAATCCATAAAAAAGAGAAACATAAATGCATTTGAAAATATGATGAATATGACATCTTGAAGTGCGTGTATCTGTGAAATTCAATACGAAAAATATAGCAAGAAAAACGAATAAGTCTTTGATATAAAAATAAATATTTAAAAAATATTTACTACATTTATAAATACAAATAAATTAAATATAAAGTAGATATTGACCTAAAGATACTAGAAAAACCTGTTACTCTAACTAGAAATTACAATTATTTACAAATCAAATTAAATTATATTAAGAAAAATAAACTAACACTTTTATTTATATCTAAAGACATGTAATTCCCCCTAATTGCTTTCTGGTTCCACTCGATCGGTTTTCTTAATTAATAACAGAGAGTTATACCTGGAAATTCCCACGCAAAAGACTTGTATTGTAAGTGTGTTTTAAAGTACAAGTTCTTCAAGAAGCTTCGCATAAATTCACTGATCACCGAAGCTCGACCAATGTGTGCAATCAGGCAAGACGAGGGCAGGAAAACCCATTGAGAGTTTCCAAGTTCCAGACAAGAAATTCAAGAAAATCTCATCTTAAATCATATTTTTCCTGTGGTTAAAAAACACACCCAAAATAAAAGAGATACTAACCTGCGCCTGCGCACTGATCCATGGCAAAAGCAAATTAATTTGTTTGATGTGCTCTTCTGTTTTTTAAGGTATTGTGTTCTTTTTTTTTGTGTCTTGAAAACCCCTGTCATGTGCAGTCGATTGTTAAATGAGAATAATGCCCACCAACTACAAGCGTTTTCACGCCATTCTGAGCACTTGTGGGGGAGGTGGGAACGTCTTGAAGTAGGGGCCGCACCCGGCTAGGGTTTCTTCGATTTGTTTATTTAAGAAAATGTGAAGAAATCAGCAATGTGTGAGAATTAAATTGCTTAACAAATTGTACAAATATCATTGAGAGTTCTGGTACTCTCATGTATATAATCGATTTTTAGTTTGGAGGGGTCTCTAGACTCTAGACTTTTGATCTATGAGAACAGAATCAATGTCTGGGCTAGCTTCCGGCCATTAAAATTGTGGGGTACTCGACATGGTTACCTTACCTGAGATCTTGAGGGTTCAAGTTGGTCTAAATGGAGATGTTATTTTGAACATTAAAAAGAAATATATATCAACAAGATGTAATCTAAGAAAGTCTAGAAAATATCATTTCAAAAAAGATGTATATATCTTTATAAGAAAATAGCTAAAGAAATTATCATTTTACCCAAGAAAAAGCTCTACAAAAATAGTATTTAAAAGCCAACACTGACTCTCCTGCAGCACTTAAAAACATAACCTTTATTTTACACTCCCAAAGAACCACAAAAAAGATTTTGAATTGAGAAAAAGAAACCCTCCTTAAGGCTGCCATACTTGACCCATTTAAAAGAGAGACTTTCCTTTTTTTTCGGCGCTGTTAATCGCAGAACCGCAGAATACGGCAAAGCTGGATGATGCTTAAGTGATTAACACCCGACATCCTCGAGGGGATCATTAAGCAATACATAATCCAATTAGCAACGACGACGATCCACCACCTGTTGGCGAGACAAACAAAGGATTTAATATTTTGTTAAATCAACGAACCAGAAACATTTCGATGACGATGAACCTGCTAAGAACTTGAACAAACAAGTGATCACGATCCCTGAAAGGAGCTGCCCGGGATCCTTGATATGGATCAACACAACATTTACTTTTACTCTCAATTGTTGGCCTGGGACCTTTTCTGATATCTGATCTGATCTTTGCCAGAGATAAAAGAAATGCCAATTCTACTTAGAAAATGACACGCAAATGGCACAAAACACAATATACAATATATATACCGAACTCTCTGTGCAAAGTGGAAACCCAAGAGCGGGAGGGGGAAAAAAGGTCTCGAGGATTATCCCCCGGCCCTGGTGCTGGTCCTTGGGCCCCTCATCAATATGTCTGCAATTAAGTTGGGCACGAATTCGTTATTAGGGGTCAGGCAATTGATAGCGATGCTCTCGGATGCATTATTCAGCGCACAAATTGCGTGAGGCACCAGGGCAGCAGCCACGATCATTACATGCCCAGGATAACCTGTGCAGGCTCCTACCTCCTACCCCCTACCCCTTCCTGGCTGCCTTTTAGCCTATGCAGATCGAGTGCATCGCAAGGAGGAGGGAGCCCCGTTGAATTGATCTCCCTCACATAATGGTTGCATATGCATGGATTGGTTTCCGATTGTGTTTGGCTTAACACTGGGCGAAAAAGTATATCTTTGATTTTTTATTTCTAAAAAAAAACCCCTATAAAAAATATAAATATATAGAAATGAAAACATAAACTAGACATAATAAAATAATGTTCAATTATAACATAAGGACATTCAAATTGTTAGAATAAGATATACATACATGTATTTCAATCTTGTGTAGTTTTAAGACAGATATGAAAATTTTAAAATTGACCCGTTGTGACTATCGCACTAATTTATAAGTTTTTAACTTGTAGCGTTAGGAATTTATTTACCAATAAATTTGAAATTTGAAAAAATATAAATATTTTTATATTCAAATGTACATTTGTATATGTTAAAAATTCCTTTAGGAACTAGCAATTATTTTAATTAAAAAAAATAAAAGTCATTCTATTATCTAAAAAAACATTCTGCAAAATCGAGTTACATTTTATAGCGGGGAATTATATCCTATATTTTATTTATTTAGTATTATCTGTTTTATTTTTGAAAAATTAATTTAAATTAAATTTAATTTTATATGTACTTCAATTCATTTTTAAAAAATAAAACAGATAATAATAATTAAATAAATAATTAAATTTAATTTAATTTTAGCAAAATAAAAAGCTTAAATTTGTGAATTTAAGAAACTCAAAAACAATAAAGATATTTGGACTTTTTTTCGACTTAAGTTTTTTTTAACTTCAAATGGAATTAAGATTATAAAAATACCAGTCATCATAAAATATTTTGAAAATGGTGAAAAATTTTAAAATTTTATTTAAAATATATAAATATTTTATTTTATTAAAATATAAAATTTTAAAACCATTTTCAAAAATCCATTTATACCTTTTTCACATTCATTTATTTTAAAATGTTATAAAATTTATAAAAATGGACACATACAAATTTCTGCAAGTGCAAACCTAGACTGATACTGTATACATATGTAAATATCTATGTATGGATGTATGAATGTATGTACAGTGCTGAAAAAAAATAAGAACAAAATCGTTGAGTGATCGTGGAGCAACCTTTCGGTTGCCTGGATGGTTAGGGCCATGGAGGGAGGGCTTAACCCATGGCTGTCATTGTCATTGAACGGCTGACAGTTGCACGAATGTAATTGGCAGTAGGCGCGAATGCAGAACGCATGAAAAATAGAGGCGTGTGAAAATGATCCACTCCGAATCACTTCGACAATCCCTCCACAAAATAACGTGAGAATTTCCATTTTAAATCACAGGCCAAATAGGGTACAAACGCTGGGGTGATCAATGCTGCGTAAAATTTGATTAGATTTAAGAAAAAAGTTTTAGAAAAACGGAAATTCATCAATACTTTATGTATGCATAGATACATATGTCCTATGTAAATACATACATGATACATACATCATACATACATGTTATACATACATTTATAGGGAAATCAAATCCCCTTCTTCATAGTTCATACATTTTTTCAACGAGGTTTGTATCATTTACGCAGAGCACAAAATTGAAACATTGAAACTGAAACAAAAATGTTAAAATGGGAAACGTAGCTTTTTATATCGAAATGTGGCTAAATTAGCTACAAAATAAAAATGTGACTGCACTGCTCAGTTGTTTACAGAATTTTGCTGACCTTCAGTGCAACTTTCAAAGGCTTCGCTTCGTTTTAAATTTTCTTGTTCCAAAACTAAAGAAGATGTCATCTCATTGTTATATATTAAACCTTCCAATAGAGCTTCTGAACTTGGTTTATAAGTACATTCCGAGTATGAGAGATAAGCTCAATCTGGCAAAAACTCATTGCGTTCTCGGAAATGCATTCGCCTTCCACGCCGGCAATACCTTCAAGTCGATTAAAATTGAGGATCGACCAATCGGGGAGTGGTTAGACATTTTGCCGCTTTGTGGATCCTCCATCACTGGATTAGAAATCGAAGACGAAGAGGATAACGTGATTGTGGCCAAGTTGGCCTCTACGCACTGTCCCAACGTGGAGAAGATTCGCTTTCACGTTCACAGCAGTTCCTTAAATCAATTCAACTCGCTGCTTTTACCTTTACAAAATTTGTTTTACATCGAAATTTGGAAATATTCTCAAAATTTTTGTGTGGTGGATACGTTGCTGCAAATGCCCAATCTAAAACACTTGACGTTATTCACGTTCAACTATCGCGATAGTAAGTATTATAAAGGCGAGAAAGTTAAATAAAGTCAATTTTTATTAACATTATATTCCTCTTTAGTGGAAAGAGTTGGAGAACTTACGAATCTGACGAAATTGAATTTGTGTAACGAAGGATTACCCATTGATATCTGCAAATGTTACTCGCCACTGAAGAACATTAATAGCTTGGAGTTAGAAGACGTTGTTTTCCGTATGCCCAAAGATCTAGGTGGCGAAACATTGTGGCCGAAAATTGAAATACTCAAAGTTACCATTCGGATCTTCGACATGCCGCTCCCTTACTTTCCGACTCTAAAACATTTGTCCATTGAAATAAATAACAGCAAGAAAAGCCTTTCCGATGTATTTGGAGAATCGGTCTTCAGTTATGGCAAAACCTTAGAGTCGCTGAGTTATTGTAAAACTTTCCCTAATAGTATCGATGATGATGACATCGGGATATTAATAAAGCTAAAGGCTCTTAAGAAACTCGAGTTGCGGGTGAAAAGCGATAATTGTTTGCACGATATATGCCAATTGGAGAACCTGGAGGAGTTGAACTTGGCACGTTCAAGAATCACTAACGGTGGAGTCATTGAGGTAATCAAAAGGAGCACAAAACTGCGACAACTAAACATTTGCGAATGCGTCGGGGTTAACAGCGATATGGTCGAGGAAGCTGTAGCTGCTCTACAGGATTGCCCCCGTAGGTCGGATAAGCCATTTTTACTCCAAGTTAGTCCTAGCTTTGGAGATGTCGATAAGGTAAGCTGATCAAAATAAAATATTTGTACATTCAATTCAAGTAAATATATATTATTTTCAGAGCAAGCTGGGTGGAGTATTGGATATTGTATGTATTGAAGATTATTTAAAATTTAAGTTTTCCCAAATTTAGAAAAAAATGTGAAAAATAAAAAATATTTTCGTAAGAAAGAAACAAACAAAACTTAAATTTAAATGAAGTTAAGAAATGTTAAGTTGTTCTGTTAAACAAATAGATGTATGTTTATGGAAGAAATTCGATTGTTTTGATTTTATATATTTTATAACACAAAAATATGACATATTTTCTCGTAAAACAAATAAAACAATTTTATATTATAGATACATATGTAATTGTATTTTTCGCCATCTATGTATGTATGTATGTACCCCTTAGTTTAAATATTGAATTCAACAACTAGTATCTAGGAGTTCTAGGATCATAGTCTTCAGTATACATATGTACATATGTATATATAATATACGATAGATACATACATATGAGTGGGAAAAAAGTTAACAAATATTTTAGTACAACACAAAAAAGCTATAACGAAAATATAAAAAATAATTTCTACCTAAAAGTAGCTAAATTAGCTAAAGATTCAAAATGTGACAGCACTGATCTGGTGTTTATAAAGAAATTTTCTGACAGGCAGGCAGTTTTGGCAGGGGCTTTGGATAAAACGGAATTAGTTACTGTGCAACTTTTAAAGGCTTCGCTTCGATTTGAATTATCTTGTTCCAAAACTAAATAAGATGTCATCCCATTGCGATATAATAAACCTTCCAATAGAGATTTTGGATTTGGTTTACAAGTACATTTCGGTTATGAGAGATAAGCTCAATCTGGCGAAATCTCATTGCGTTCTTGAAGAGGCATTCGCCTTTCACTCTCGCAATATTTTTAAGGAAATCGAAATTGGAGATCGACCAATAGAGGATTGGTCTGGTATTTTGTCGCTGTGTGGATCCTCTGTTACTAGCATCAGAGCCGAATATATCAGGAATTCATTGTCTGCGGCCAAGTTGGCCTCCATGCACTGCCCCAACCTGGAGAAGTTTAGCTTTCCCTTTCTCAGCAGTTCTTGGAATCAATTCCAGTCGCTGCTTTTGACTCTTCAAAATCTGTCTTGCATAGAAATTTGGAACTGTTCTGAGAATGTTAGTGTAGTTGATGCGCTGCTGCAAATGCCAAAGCTGAAACACTTGAAGTTATCCGGCAACTATCACGATTGTAAGTATTATAAAGGCGAGAAAGTTAAATAAAATCAATTTTCACAACGCTATATTCCTCTTTAGTGGAAAGACTTGGAGAACTTTCGAATCTGACGAAATTGAATTTGTCTAACCATGGAGAACCCATTGATATCTTCAAAGTTTGCTCTCCACTGAAGAACATTATTAGCTTGGAGTTGGAAAACTTTGTTTTCCGTATGCCCAAAGACCTAGGTGGCGAAACATTGTGGCCGAAAATTGAATTACTTAAAGCTAACTATGGGTACTTCCACACGCCGCTGCCTTACCTGCCGACATTAAAAAATTTGACCATTGAAAAAATGGATAACTATGACAGGAATAGCCTTTACTATGTATTGGGAGAATCGGTCTTTAGTTATGGCAAAACCTTGGAGTCAATGAGTTATTATCGCTATTTTACTATCAAAGATTATGAAATCGAAATAATAATGAAGCTTAAGGCTCTTAAGAAACTCGAGTTCAAGGTGGGAAGCGATGATTGTTTGCAAAATATATGCAAATTGGAGAACCTGGAGGAGTTGAACTTGGCAAGTTCGGAAATAACTAACAGTGGAGTCATTGAGGTGATCAATAGGAGCAAAAAATTGCGACATCTTAACATTTGCGAATGCGTCAAGGTTAACAGCGATATGCTCAAGGAAGCTGTAGCTGCTCTACAGCATTTCCCCCGTAAGTCGAATAAGCCATTTGTACTCTGTGTTAGTCCTAGCTTTGGAGATGTCGATAAGGTAAGCTGATCAATATAAAAATAATATACATATCATACATATATTCTTTATCTCTAAATATTTGTACATTAAATTCAAGTAAATATATATTATTTTCAGAGCAAGCTGGGTGGAGTATTAAATATTGAATATATTAAACATGATTTTAACTGGTGGATTTAGAAAAAAATGTGAAAAAAAATAATTTCGAAAGAAAGAAGCAAACAAAAATCCAATTTAAATGAAGTTAAGAACTGTTAAGTTGTTCTGTTAAAAAAAAAATTAGTTGTATGCCTAATCCTAATTCGACCTTCCAAATCTGTAGAATTTTCCGGTTAAGAAACCCAGATCATTAGCTCTGCACTCTGAAAATGGTGGAGCCAGCCAAGTGGCAGAGGCGAGATAAACCCGGCAGGGCAGGGCAGACACGCCAGACAAACTGGCGACGCCTTGTGAAATTTCCTCTTTCCTCTTCTGTGCGCACATAATAATAAAGAAAATAAATATAAGAGGAATACAGCCCAAACGAGCACACACACTCAGGCGGAGAAGAAGAACTACAACGAAATAAGACCATAAATGCATTTTAACAAAAAGCAAACCAAGAAGAGCCAATGAACCTAAAGAGCAAAAAAAGAAAAGAAGGGAAAAATAAAAAAAAAAAAAACACGAAAACCAACAGAGAAAAATATAAAAGAACCCAGGCCCCAAACCAAAGGCCATAAATAAGCCGACATCGTCTCCGCTGCGCATGCGCCGCAGCATTTGAGGCTGGCTGCACTTCAACTTGAGCCTCTGTCCCGTCTCTCCAGCTTCTGCCCGAGTCCCGGCTCTCCCTATCAGACCCTCGCCATCTGGTCGGCCATTGGGGAGCCACGGATCCCCGACTCGGAGCAGTTACTCTTCAGCTTAAACATCGACGAATGGACTGGACTGGTGGTTCGTCAACTGTCTTTAGTTTTTATAAAATTTCCTTTATTTTTGGCTACTATTTCTAGAAAATATAGAAAGTTAAACAATAGATTGAGTGTAAATTTAACAGAAAATAAAAATATAATGCTAAGCTGGAGAATACATTTTTTAATGGGTCATTTACTTAATTATTTAATAGAATAAATAAATTATTATCTGAGGTTTTTAGAAAATATTTAGAAATATAGAAACAAAACAGCAAGGTATCATAATTTATATTTATATTATATTTATTCCTTAATTTATTTATATTTAATATTAACATTATCTTAATAGTTTTATAAACATATTCCGCAGGGCATTAACCAAGTTGCTGTTAACCTTTTACGCCGACTTATGCCAATGGAATTTCTACTGTTCGGACACACAATTTTCTAGTGCAATTTTTCACTAATGATGACTAACTCACCTGGCTGGTGGGCTTGGAATGATTCACGCATTTGCCGAAAGGTGCGAAATTCAAAATGCAGGTGGGCCTTCAAGTCAAGGAAACAGCAGCTGTCGACGGCGGTCCATGTAAACATTATTCTCCTGTCACTATTTAGGCCATCAGATTGGGAATTTATAGGAACATTCTCACAGAATGAATGATAAGCTGGGAACTACAATTAAAATCTAATTCAAGTTTTCAGTGAGAGTTCCTAGAAGAAAAATTAAAGTTTAAGTTAAAACAATTATACTAAAGATGGGCTAAAATTTTACTACAACTTTAAGTTAGCTTCCATTTTTATACCCTTGCAGGGTATTATAATTTAAGTCAAAAGTTTGCAACGCAGTGAAGGAGACCTTTCCGACCCTATTAAGTATATATATTCTTGATCAGCATCAACAGCCGAGGCGATCTAGCCATGTCCGTCTGTCCGTCTGTCCGTTTCTACGCAAACTAGTCCCTCAGTTTTAAAGAAAATCGGACGACTAAATCATATAGCTGCCATAGAAACGATCGGTAGCTGTACAGAAAAATTTTAAGCTGCGAGTGTAAAACTGAAACTGTTAATCTGTAAACATAATAAGTATAGATAAAATGGTTTTGTGTGTTTTTCACCATTTAAATTTATAATGTTATTTTATTAAATATTTTAATCTAAAATATATATGTCTTTTATGCGATTAAACTTCGTTTTTTTTTTAATTTTATCAAAACCAAATTATCATATACTATGTTTCTCCTTTACTGAAAGCCGGCCTGACTTCTATTAAAAGCCAATGGAAAATGATATTGGAATTTCCCCAAAATACACGAATTGGCTTAATTTTAAATAAAATCTATACACAGAGGCAACAAATTTTTGTATTTGCATCAGGGAATTTTTTCAACATGTGAATATTTTTATTTAGGGAAAACAGAAAAGTTAACTGAGTTCAATTTTTTTGTAAAATCCTTCAGTACTGAAAGTTGTTCTGACTTCTATTAAAAGCCAGTGGAAAATGAGATTGGAATTTTCACAAAAAACAACAATTCTTAAGCTTAAACAAAATTTATCCACAGAGGCAGCAAATTTTTGTATTTCAATCATGGAATTTTTTTTACATGTGCATTTTTTTATGCACCGAAAACCGAAAGTTAACTGAGTTCAATTACTGGAAGGCTTTTTTAGATTGATTTTTTTTGTTTTTTAAATCCTTCAGTACTGAAATACACTAATTGGCTTAAGCTTAAATAAAATCTATCCACAGATGCAGGAAATTTTTGTATTTCAATCAGGGAATTTTCTCACCATGTGCATTTTTTTATGTAGCGAAAACGGAAAGTTAACTGAGTTCAATTAATGGGAGGGTTTTTTAGATCAAATTTTTTTGTAAAATCCATCAGTACTGAAAATTGTTCTGACTTCTATGAAAAGCCAGTGGAAAATGAGATTGGAATTTTTCACAAAAAACAACAATTCTTAAGCTTAAACAAAATCTATCCACAGGGGAAACAAATTTGTGTATTTTAATCAGGTAAATTTTTCAACAGGTGAAGTTTTTATATAGCCAAAACATATAGGTTACTGAGTTCAATTACTGGAAAGGCTATTTAGATGATTAGATTAATTTTAAAGCTATCTTCATGAAACTTTGCAGATAGTCTTCTAACTATATCATATAGCTGACATGGGAAAATTTGAAAAAAAAAACAATTATAAAATCGCTGTGTTTCATCACATTATTATCTACTCTGAGACATGGCCATTTTCTATTATTTAAAAATTTCTGTTTTAAAAATATGTAAATATGAAATAAAAGTTTATATAACCAATAAAAATGAATTATTATTTAATAATGTTTTTGAAATTAAATCAAACATATAAAATATGATATCTTCAAATATACATATGTATATATTGCTTATGATCCAATTGCAAGCTGCAAGGGTATACAAACTTCGGCCTGCCGAAGTTTGCTTCCTTCCTTGTTTATATTATTTTAGAGTATAGCAATCCAAATGATTTAGAAAAATCTACATTTTTTTTTATATTTATTAATAAAATAACACTCAGTATATAATTTTTTCTATATTTTAATTTCCCAAACAAATCAACTGCAACCCCATTTGTATCACTTTTAAGTCCCCAATTTATGTCTTTGTTCGAAAAAAAAACATACTTTACCTGGCACCGAACAACTCATATTTTAATCTATATCTCCCAAAGCACTTGCCTGATCCAGTACAATCCTAAATTATATGGTAAGTACCCGCAGCGACAAGTGGAACTTTTGCATAACGATTTAATTAAAGTTTTGCTCACAAAAAACAAAAAAACAAAAACTAGTCAAAAAGCTGCGAAAACTTAAAGCGCAAAATGAAATCATAGGGGACCAGGACCTGCCCGAGCACCCGACCGCAACGTTGGCTTATTAAATAAATAAACTATAATTAAGCATAATGCATGAGTTAGTGGTCGATGAAGTAGGTAGAGAAACTCAATTGCTATGCCTTTGGATACCCTAATAGATGAAAAGTTGTAGGTTAGAAATAGGGGAAAGTTACATCAAGGAAACTTACAATAAATAGATTTATTTCATCTAGAAAAACTTTAATATTTTAAAGTATTTCTTAAAGTTTAACTTTATATATATATATAAATTTTATAAGCCCATTTTAGTGGTTAAAACTCAATATCTTTGCAATCCATTCTGTGTTGAAATCTCAAGTCGATTTGTCCACGGGTTTGGCCACTTTTAAGCTGCATCCACGCATTGTCTTGGCTCAACTGGAAGCCGCCAGGCTGTCTAAGACTAGTAGTAGGCCAACAGCCAGTCAGCCACTTAGCCAGCAAAACCAAGCCAAAACCCAGTTGAGCCCAGATCCCAAAGCAGTTGACTTTTTGGTGTATGTTGCAAACAGATCCTAGCCATAATTGGAAGCAGTCTCGCGGAACTTGTTGAGCTGAAGTAGCCAGCAATAGCAAATTATAACTACACTGGGAGGAAAATATGAGATAAAAAAATATTCCAGGAAATTACAGAAAATTTATAAAGGCTTTAAAATATATAATTAAGCAACTTAAAGGTTAATAGATATAAAATCTAAGAAACTGAATAGAAATAATATTTAAATACAATTTTTATAATTAAAATACAAAGTTACAATTATTCTCAAAATTAAATACAAATTGTAGCAATGTGATTTATATAATTTAAAATATATTTTTCTTTTTTCTGTAAATTAATAATCCCTCATTTCTTACCAGTGCATAGTCTCCACCTCGCCAACTTCTGGTTTCTATTGACCCAGTCGATCCGTCAGTTAGTAAGTCAAGTTTGCTGGGAATGCACACGGGTAAATATATGGAAAGTGGAGTAACCTGGACTAGCCTGGAGCTGGATGGGATCACTTTTACTTTTGCCTGGCGGTCGCCTCCTTCGGGTTTTCTTGTTAATGTGACAGGTTGCCAATCGTCTTGGCCAATTGACACCTGCATGCTAATAGCGCTCACTGGAACTGTGGCTTAAATTATGGCTGCAGTTTAAGGATACATACAGCCAGGCACATCCTACATACAGTATCTCGAATTAAGCAAAGTTATCGTTTGGCTTCCCTTAAAAGGTTAAATACAAATTGTGGGACAAAATGCTTGAACCAAGTGGTTGTTGTTGGGTATTTATAGGGCAATCAGTTGACCAAAACAGGAAAGTCTTTGTTTAAACAATCAACAGCTAATTGATGTAAGAGTCTTAAGAGTGTATTATCTAAATTAATGTTTTATAAATATTTATATTATATATTTTTATTAATATTTACGTCAGACTGTCCTCGCTTTCCCTCCAAAAATCTCTCGATAAAAGACCTTCTTCCCTGGCTTTTCATTTTCCACCCTCAACGCTGGATAACTACTATCACAACGATCCTAATCCGGTTTAGATTCTCGCTCATTGGCAACGGGTCACACCTGAGTGAGTATTTCCAGGTGGCAGGTGCTCCTGGGATCGCCAATGAATCATAACTTG